AATGGATCTACACAAAGTACATTAACTTTGGTAGTTTTCACTGTAAGACAGTCCACTAACAAGCATATTTGCCCTTATTCCCCTGGTTGTTCAACTTCTGAACTTAGATTTTTATTTATTTATTTATTTTTTTGCGGTACCAGGGATTGAACTCAGGACCCTGTGCTCGCCAGGCAAATGCTTATTCTACTGAGCTATCTCCCTGGCCTTGAGCTTAGAATTTTTAAAATCTTCTTGAGATTTTATTATCTTCTTGAGATTTTGTTATCTGAGCACTTACAGTTGTCTAATTGTTGAGAGCTTGGTGAGAAGCCCCTGGAACACTGGTGGTGGAAGAGTTTGCCGCAACACCTGCAGCGGCTGCTGGGGCCGTCCACATACAGCAACTGCATTTGTCAGATGGCCCACACCCTTCTCATAGTCACCTTGAGCCAGTAACTCTTCAACAAGCTGTATTTCTTCAAGGAAAAATTTCTGAACAGCTCCGGCATCTTTAAGGTCAGGTAACTTAGAAAGTCCAGCTCTCTCCTTGGCAAGCTTCCGTTCTTTCTTTGTTCTCGAAGCCTGGTCTTCAAGTTGGGATCACTGCGCCTCTTGCTTGCGGTTGAAGGAAAAGCACTACCCAATGCAGAGGGCCCTGCCCACGCCGGCGGCGATGGCGCAGTTCCGACCCACCATCTCCTCTCGACTTCACTGTGCCCAGTGCAGCGGGCCCACACTGGAGAGGTTGGCCTCAAAGTGAGAGGCAGTGGTACCTCCTGCAGCCAAAGCCTGCTGAAGAAGACCGGCTTAATTTTTATTTTTACCATTATATATATAGATATACATATATATATTTTTAAATAAATTTAGGACAGGGTCTATAGGGTATACAGGGGCTCACTATGTAGACAGGACTTTGTTCAGCATCCCAAGAGCTGGGATTACAGGTGCACACCACCACACCCAGTCTCAGTTGCATTCTCAGCGCACCCTGGGGGCAGGGCTGGCACTGCAGGCCCGGGGATCCAACCCTGGCTGCTGCGTTCTGCCAAAGCAGGTGCTTTAGTCCCCTGAGCTATCTGGCTGGCCCTCCATTATATGTTTGTAATACGTGATTTCATTCATCTTGGGGAGTTGGCACATGTATGTATTTTTTTTTTTAATTTTATTTATTTATGTGTGTGTGTGTGTGTGTGGCCAGCTCAGCCCACCAGGGGGCGGGGCTGGCTGGCATGTGGTGCTGGGGGATTGAACTGCGGTCCCTGTGCTTTGCTAAGCTTGTTCTAAGTAGGTGCTTTAGACCATTGAGCCATCTCACCAGCCCCCACATGTATGTATTGTAACAAACCTTTTTTTTTTTACATAGCAATAATTTATTGAGCGATACGTGACCCTTTCTATAGCTTAAGTGCAGTGTATTTATTTTGTTTTTTTGATTATTTTTTACTGTACTTTAGGGAAGGGTCTACAGGGTATTCAAGGTCTCACTACTAGGTCAGATTCAGTGATTCTCCTATTTATAGCCTCCGAAGTGCTGAGATTATAGGCGCACCATACCCAATCTCAGTTGCTGTCTCAGTGTGCCCCAGGGGTGGGGCCGGCACAGCAGGCCCAGGGATTGAACCCCGACCCCTGGGCCTGCTTGCAGGTGCTTTAATCTGCTGAGCTATTTGGCCAGCCCTTATTTTATTTTTATTTATATATTTGTTTGTTTATTTTTGAGATCGAGTCTTGCTTTGTGTCTTAGGCTGGCCCTGAACTCTATGTAGTCCAGGCTGTCTAATTTATGGGAATGCCTCCCAAGTGCTGAGATTACAAGTGTTTTGTGCTGGAATTACATGTCTGGTTTAGTTTTTTTTTAAATTTCTCTCCCCTCCCTCCAACTCTGTTTTGTTTGTTCTGCTCTTGTACGTTTCATCAAAGATGTTTGAATCTAAATTCAGTCCTGTGTGCTTAGGCTAAGCCTGCTGATTTCAGTCTGGCTTGTGATAGAAGGTAAGTCAGTTTCCTCTCTGGTGCTCCAAAGCTCTCCATCCCCAGAATTGGAGGGTATGTTACATATTTTTTTTGCGGAACCAAGGATTAAACTCAGGCCCTTATGCTTGCTAGGGAAGTGCTTATTCTACTAAGCCATCTCCCCAGCCCTATATTGCACATCTTTTAAAAAAAATTATTTTATGCAGTCCCGCACTGTAGGTTCTTCTGGATTGCTGTGTCCTTGGCTGGTGTAAAAATGGCCACCAGTTTCCTAGTGCATGAGAAAATCTGGTTTGACAAGTTCAAGTATGGTGGTGCAGACAGGAAATTCTACGAGCACATGAGTGGACCTGTGGCTGGTGCCTCAGTGGTGCCAGCGAGATCCTCTGTGACATTGCTAGAGCCAGAGAGAACATCCAGAAATCCTTGGCTGGAAGCTCTGGCCCTGGGGTCTCCAGTGGGTCTGGTGGAGACCACAGTGAGCTTGTTGTCTGGATTGCCAGCCTGGAAGTGGAGAACCAGAACCTGAGAAGTGTGGTGCAGGATCTGCAGCAGGCCATCTCTAGACTAGAGGCCTGGCTGAACACCCTTGAGAAAAGCTCACTCATCCATTGAGCCATAGCCCCACAGCCCCAGCACGTGGCTCCCATGTGCCAAGTGGAATCCCCAGCCAAGAAGGTGGCCACACCAGCAGAGGACAACGACAATGACATTGACCTATGTGGCAGCGATGAGGAGGAGGACAAAGTGACAGCCCAGCTGTGGGAGGAGAGGCTAAGGCAATATGCAGAAAAAAAAATCCAAAAAGCCCTCACTGGTGGCCAAGTCCTCCATCCTCCTGGATGTCAAACTTTGGGATGACGAGCCTGGCATGGCCAAGCTGGAGGCCTGTGTGTGCTCTCTCTAGCGGGATGGGCTGCTCTGGGGTGGTTCCAAGCTGGTCCTCATGGGTTACAGCATCTGCAGGCTGCAGATCCAGTGTGGTGGAGGACGACAAGGTGGGCAATGACTTGCTGGAAGAGGAGGTCACCAAGTTTGAGGAGAGTATGTGCAGAGTATGGACAGTGCAGCTTTCAACAAGATCTGAAACCAAGGGCGCATGTGTGCAAGGGAGGCCCTGCCAAGGTTAAAAGCTGAGACTCTGTCAAAAAAAAAAAAAAAAAAATTTATTTTATTTTTTGGCGGAACTGGGGGTTAAACTGAGGCTCTTGCACTTGTCAGGCAAGTGCTTATTCTACTGAGCCATCTCCCTGGCCCCCAAAAAATTTATTTTTGTTGTTATTTATTTGTTACCAGGAATCATCTCTTGCTGTGCCACTGAGCTATGTCCTCAGCCCTATTGGAACATTTTAGATATAACATACATCAGAGGGAATTTGTACCTGTACATGACATACCTTGCTTCTTTTTTTCCCATTCTCCTCCCCTCCCTTCAGCTCCTCTTCTCCTTGTTATTTACAAGTTTTGTTTCCATTCTTTTTTTTTCCTTACGTATTTAGTACAGGGTCTGCAGGGCCTCACTACGTAGATTGGACTTGTAGTTATCCTCCTGTTAGCTTTCCAAATGCTGGGATTACTGGTGCATGCCACCATGCCTAGTCTTCCACTCTTTTTCTTATAGTCTCTATTTTCTTGTTCCTTCTTTCCTTTCCCCTCCCTGTCCCTTCTTTCCTCTTTCTTTCTTCCTTTTTTTTTTTTTTTTTTTTTTTTTTTTCCCGAGACAGGTTCAGGCTAGCTTTTTGGTTTTTATTGGTACCAGGAATTGAACTTGAGACCTTGCGCTTGTTAGACAGGTGCTTTTGCCACTAAGCTATATCCCCCAGGCTAGCTTTAAACTCACTGTGTAGCCTAGGCTTGCCTCAAACTTGCAGCAATTCTCCTGCCTCAGCCTCCTAAGTGCTGGCATTGTAGGCCTGCATGACCATGCTTAGCTTTCCCCTTCTCATTTTAACATTTTCCAATATCTATTATATATTTTGGTCCTTACTTTCACTTTTCGTGTAAAAACAGCAGAGAAACAATATAATATTTAAATGTGTGTCTGACTTACTTCACTTATAAGTGTGGTCTCAAGGTACATCCATCCAGCTAGAAATCTTAGTGTGTGAATTACTCATCTGTCTGCTTTCTGGCACTATCCTGAAATTTCCTTTCTGTTGTGAAATGTTCAGAGAATTCCTCGCTGTATATATTTCCTATTCATGGGTCCTCACAAGCTCTAGAAGAATGGGACCTTAGCTTCTTGCCTAATCGCCTTGATTTACTTGATGCTGACCAAGGCTCTAGGAACAGATGGAAAGCACTGAGTTTTTTGATTTGGGAAATTATGTTTTTTTAAAAAGTGAAAGCTCGCTATTTAAATGCCTTGTATCGTCCTTCAGCTTGAAGGTGCTACAGAGTTGAAGCTGAACTAGGGAAGTTGAGCTCCTCCTCAGTGTGACGCTTGTCTTAGGAACAGTCCTGGTGAGTCAGGATAGCACCGATGAACCCCGGCCTTGCCCAAGTCCTTCAGTGTGAACCTGCCTTCAGCCTGGACATGAGCAGTTGGCTCGCAGATGATAGATCTTTTTGCTGATGGCTTTGACCTTTCATGCCTCAGAGAAGAGTAGTTAACACACCACTTAATCCCTCTGGAGTTCCCCAGCCCTGTGGTTATGTAGGTTATATAAGTGGTTTTAAAAGTGAAGCTGAGATTGGGTAAGATTGTGGGCCAAATCCCATTCATCTTCTATTGGACAGATTTATAGGAAGAAGAATGGGCACAGTCTTTTCTGTCTGCTGAGGACCAAGTGGGAGGAAATAGTGTGAGTCTAACAATAGAAATTGATGCCACAGAGGCTGGGGAGCAGGGGGTAGGTGACTGAAGGGAGGTGGAAGTGTGGCCTGATCGCTGAAGCTCCACTGTGGGCTGGGTGCGGGGCCGCTGAGCTCTATCCAGAGGGGACACAGACGAGGCAGTGTGTGTTGGCCAACCTCTTTATATGTCTCATTTAATGTGGCTCCTAAACAGTGAGGCCTTATTCCGTTTCTTTTTCTCTTAGTCAGATTCTGAGGAAGATGAACCCATAAAGAAGAAAATTGTCCTTCAGGTAAGCTTCATGACTTAAGTCATGTCCTGTCTTCCACATTGTTTCCTAAAATGCTCAGCAGCTTTCAGGGCAGGTGCAGTGCAGGACCAAGGGTTTGAAGATCTTTGGGTATGGCTTTAGTGTGCTTTATAGCTTCAGGCCCAGTGCATCCTGAGCTCTCCTCATTGCTTTCTTAGCACGATGGAGTTAACCTCCCCTGGAGGAGAGGGCTGGAGAGGCATAATAACTCAATTCAGTTCATTACATTTCAGGTAAAAGGATTATTCAGGGAGGGTGGGGTAAATGGATTGGTTAGAATGATGTTAGGGAACATCTGCATTTTATAATTATTTATCTTTTCCCAGTCTTATTTTTAACCTGGAATAAACACTTAATAGCACTTATTTTGTTCCAGGCACTGCTCTGAGTGTGTTACTAGTATCTAACTAATTTTGTCTTCATAATAGTGCTAAAGTCAAGAGTGTTATTATTATTTCTGTTTTGTGTATGAGGAAACTAGGAAGTTGGCCAAGGTCAGATTGTGGAGGCAGAGCTGGGATTACGGTTATATCAGGCAGTCTGACTGCAGAGTCTGAGCCCATGCAGTTGCTGTACTTGCTGTTTCTCTTTCACCAAGACCCGAAGTCCTTAGCAAAGACAGTCTGCCTGCAGTCTGCTTGTTTCTGCTCATCCTAGTGCCTGTACTCTGACCCCCAAAGGTTCTCCCTGTTCTCTCAACATCCAGGACACTCTCTCCAGTCTGATGTCCTGGGGAAAGTCAGCCTGCCTTTGTAAGGTAGTCATTGCAGGACGCATACATGGTGCTGTCAGGTGTGGTTGTGCACACCTGTATTCCTGACTCTTGGGTGTCTGAGGCAAGAGGATCACCACAATGTTAAGGCCAATCAGGACCATAAGTGAGCCTGAACTACATAGCAAGTCTTAAGCTATCCATGTTGGACATGAAGTGCATTTCTCTGCCTTAGCCTCCCAGAGTGCTGGGATTACAGACATGCATCACTGTAACCTGCTCAGGAGGTTTTGGAAGTTGCGTGGAAGTTAGACAGCTGAAGAGGTATGTCCATATTTCTAGGGGATGCTGAGGAGGAGGCATAGAAGAAGCTGGTATGCTGAGTCTAAGCAAAGCTAGTTATTTTTCTGCTATCGGGGGTGACTGCCTGGAGGAGGTAGATGGCTCAGAAGGCACCCCACGAGTCACAGGCAGTTTTCCAAATGATAGGAAAGGATGAATAGTGTGTTTGTTTGTTTGTTTGTTTATTTATTTATTTATTTATAGGGAAGGGTCTACAGGTGTTCAGGGTCTCACTACTATATCAGACTCATAGAGATCTGCCTGTTTACAGCCTCCCAAGAGCTGGGATTACAGGCATATGCCACAACGCCCAGTCTCAATCAGGTTTCAGTGCGCCCTGGGGGCAGGACCAGCATGACAGATCCAGGGATCGAATCCCCGGCCCCCACACCTGCTTGCAGGTGCTTTAATCTGCTGAGCTATTTGACTGGCCAAGGAAGTGAATAGGTCAATAAGTCAGAGGAGCTCTGTGAAGACACAGTAGGGGTGTATTTATTTTTATTTTTATTTCTTTTTTTTTGGGTGGAACCAGGATTGAACTCAGGCCCTTGCACTTGTCAGGGAAGCGCTTATTCCACTGAACATCTCCCTGGCCCCAGGGATGTATGTGATGGGATGTATCCATGGCCAGAAGACACTGCAAAGTCATATACTTCTTGCTTTTTTTTTTTTTTTTTTTTAAACTCAGGCCCTTGTGCTTGCCAGGTATAAGTATACCGCTGAAGTATTTCCCCAGCCCCTGCAGCCATACACTTCTGAAGTAACCTAAAAAGTGCCTTCTCCAGAACCTCAATCTGGTTCCTTGGTTCTGAGGTGCTATAGGCTGGCAGGCTGGATTGATTGAACTCTACACTCAGACAAGGGCAGGGAGGAGCCCCTCTCCAGATGAACAGTTTTTTGTCTCCCTGGCTCATTTCTTTTTTTTTTTTTTTTGCGCCAAATGACCTCAGGGCGTGTTTGGCTGGCTTGAGTTGTAGGGATCGAACCACAGCAACCTGAGCCTGACTGCTTTGTTGAAGCAACCACTTAAAGAACTGAGCTAAGAGGCAGGCCCCCGGCTCATTTCATTTGGAAGTCTTTTTCTTTTATTTGGGCATTTCTTGGCTGAGAATGTTGGAATACATTGGTACTCTAGGACAGTGATGCAGTGACCTATTCCACTCTGATTTTTCTAGTTGGTGCTGTGCTGGTCCTTCAGCATACAGAAAACAGAATTTGTGGTAGGACTCTGGATAGGCTGGCCAGGGCACTTAAAAATGGATGTTAGTGTTTGACTCCTTTTAACCAGCTACTCTGTCACACAGACAGGGCTTTCCTTGAGTGGGCTGGGGCTGTGTGCAGGAGACTTTGGGCCACATGCATGAATGTGTCTTTGGACAGAGTCTTGTTCTTTATTTCCAATAACAATCAAAAGGAAGAACAGGCCCTCAGGACCTGAGGAGAAGTTGTGTGGTTAACTGGAGGGAGGGTTAGGCTTTTGTGGAGAAAGGATGATGTGAGATTAAGAGCAACGGATTCACTGAAGACACAGAGTTGGGGAGGACTGTGTGGCAGAGGGCAGTGGAGCTGGTTGGAGTGAGCTGACAAGAGGGATTGGCACCTCAGTGTGGAGGGAGTAGCTGTGGAAGGGCCTGAGGCAGGGTGAGTCTGACCCAGATAGATGGCCTGGGTCGGTGGAGGGAGAAGGTAATGAGGACTGGTGAGGTTGTAGGGTAGCAGACGTAACTAACTCTTACTTTTGGTGTTGCAAGTGTATAACATAAAATCTCCCTTTCTTCCCTTCTGCCCCAAACCTGGGCTCGCCAGGGATCCGGCGAGGGGACTGGTTTATCTGCCTTGCTTCCCCAACCTAAAAATCTGACTGTGAAAGAGACTAACAGGTTGCTCCTGCCCCATGCCTTCTCCCGGAAACCCTCAGATGGTCCCTCTGATACCAAGACCTTCAGACTGGCTTCTAAGACCAAGCCCTCCTCTCTTGCACCAGTTGTGGGCACCACAACCACCACTCCATCGCCCTCTGCCATCAAGGCTGCTGCCAAGAGTGCTGCGCTGCAGGTGACAAAGCAGATCACGCAGGAGGAGGACGACAGTGATGAGGAAGTAGCCCCTGAGAACTTTTTCTCCCTCCCTGAGAAGGCCGAGGCACCTGGAGTTGAGCCATACCTTTATCCTGTCCCTACTGTCCCTGAAGAGCTGCCTCCAGGCACAGAGCCAGAGCTGGCATTCCAGGACGATGCAGCCAATGCCCCCCTTGAGTTTAAGATGGCAGCAGGCTCAAGTGGGGCCCCTTGGATGGCTAAGCCTGGGGATGACTACAGCTACAATCAGTTCTCAGCATATGGCGATGCCAATGCCGCTGGTGCTTATTATCAGGTGGGTAGAGGGCATTGAGGGCAGACCCGGGAATGTGAGCATGTTAGGCAGGGCAAGTTTGAGCCAGTGGAATGTCCTCTGTGGTGTTCTTGCCTTGGTTTCCCCATACTTGCTTGGCCTCAGCATATAACTACTTTTATTCTGGACCTGTGGATATAAATTGGCTTATAGTCTGAGAGATTGAGATACATAATTGATACCTTTATTCTGTATATGAGTCAGCTTTCCACCCCTGTGACAAAATACCTAAGAATCAACTCAGAAGGAGGAGAAGTTTATTTTGGCACATGGTTATGGTCCATGGATCTATGGCCCCACTGCCTGTAGCACAGCAGGACCTCATGCTTGGTGCATATGTTTGGGAAGCAGAGAAGAGAGAAAGGAGCTGGGGTTCCCTGTCCCCTTTAAGGGCACATCCCACTTCCATCAAGCCCCACCTAAAGGTCCCATCATCTGGCCATGCTGCAGGCTGGTAAGCAAGCCTTTAATGCTTGGGTCTGGAGGGGACACTTTCCACACCATAGCAATCTGGAAACATTCTTACTGTGGGAGCTGGTGAGAGGGCCAGGGAGGTAGCAGTCTCCAAGCTTAGAGTAGAAGGGACTCTGTTCCACTGTGGAGGCAGCAGTTAGGCCCAGAAGAGTCTCTTGGGAGGAGGGAGGGATTGAGGAGAAAAGGGGGTCTGCATAGCTTGAGTGCGAAGGGGCAGTGAGGAGATGGGGGAGAGTTGTGCCTGAGCCAGGAGCAGCTGGCTGAGTCAGACCCCTTGAGGAGACAGCACAGGGACCCTGCTTGGCAATGATGTGATATGTTCTGAGAGTTGGGCAGGTAGCTGCACAATGACATTTGAGGTCAGCCTCTCAGGTTTCCAGGAGACTCATGGCTCAGCTTGGGTGCTGCCTCGAGTGAAGTAAATGCTCAGTAAGTGGTTACTGTAACTTTTGTTCACATTTTATTTAAATGTTTTTGGGAAAGAGATTTGATACCCACTTGGCCTCAGGGTGGCACCTGGGATGACGGGCAGAAAGTAGGTTTCAGACGGAAGTTTCCAGCAGTTGGCGTTTCCCTGGGTGGAGAAGGTGCTTATCTGGTAGACTTTGGGGTGCCTGAGCAGAAGCCTCATGACTGGACAGCTTCAGAAAGCTTAGTGCCACCGTACAATGGTTGGCAGATTTGAGTCTTTCAGCCACTGTGCTTCTCTGAATGGTCGGGGTTGGTCTTTCAGTTTGGGCATGAGTAGGAAAGGGCTTCCAGGGTCCCTGTTTTTTTGTGGTTTGTTTTGTTTATATTATTATTATTTTAATATTTTAGTACAGGGTCTCACTACACAGATTGGACTCATGGTGATCCTCCTGTTTTCAGCCTCCCAAGTGCTGAGATTACAGGCATGTGCCACTACACCCAGTCTCTGTGACCATCTCAGTGTGCCTTGGGGTGGGGCCGGCAAGGCATACCCAGAATTGAACCCACATCCCTTTGCCTGCCTAAGCAGGCACTTCAGTCCTCTGAGATATCTGGCGGGCCCTGTTTGTTTTGAGATAGAGTCTTGCTGTGTAGTTCAGGATGACCTTGAACACACTGTATAGTCCAGGCTTCCCTCAAACTCTAGGTAGTCCCCCTGCCTCAGCCACCCAAGCACCAGGATTATAAGGTTACACCACCACGCCCGGCTCAGAGTCTCTGATTTGGCCAAAGACTTTGAAAATTATTTTCTTTCCTAAATCATTGCTGCTAAACCCTGTTGGATCTAGTAGGCTGACCAGAGACACTGTGTCTCCCCTCAGGGTGGACAGAAGGAAGAAGGAAGATAACAGTGTTTTGACCTTTTTAGCAGAGAGATCCTGCTGATTTAAAGTACATTTATTTTCTATCCAGTAAATGAATTAAAAAGTTGGGATTCTGTTTATGTTTTACTCAATTATTATTATTATTTTTTTGGTGTGATACTGAGGAATGAAGCCAGGGCCTTCACACTGAGCTATAGCCCTAGCCAAGTTTTGTTTCATTTAGTTTGAGAGAGAGTCTTGCAAAAATGCTTGTTGGGGCTTCAGTTTTCAATCCTACTTCAGCGTACAAGAGTTTTGGTATTATAGGCACTGGCCATCTTCCCTGATGGTGCTCAGTTTTAAACATGATTGAGGTGTTTAAAACTGTGGATTAAAGCACTTCAAATGCTAAGGACTTTGATATCTGAATATATCTTTTTTTTTGGTGGAACCGGGGATTGAACTCAGGCCCTTGTGCTTGCCAGGGAAGCACTTACTCTACTGAGCCATCGCCCCTCCCCCAATATATCTTATTTTGAATATTACACCTTTGCACAGTGGCAATATCGTAGCCAGTGAGGTTTATCTGAGGTGCGATTATTGCTGTTTTGAATATTATTACAGAAAATCCATATTCTTAGTTGCGGTGGATTTTTCTATATTTTGTGTAATTTTTTTTTTTTTTTTTTTCCGGAACCGGGGATTAAACTCAGGCCCTTGTGCTAGCCAGGGAAACACTTATTGTATTTAGCCATCTCCCCGGCCCCTGTGTAATGAATGTTAAATCTGTTTCCCATTTAGCTCATTACTAAAAGAATGTTCTTAGAAGGACATTTCTTCGAGTTTTGGGCAGAGGTGGCAGAAGTAGGAAAATAGTGTCAGCGGAGAGAGCAGTTCCTGGGCTCCAAGGGCACCTGACTGGGCCGCAGCAGGGCCTTGCCCTTGGCCGCATGCCCTTCTGGGTCCGCAGCATTGTCTGAGCAGCTTGCTTTTGAGGGGAACGATGAGATTCCTGGAGCAGAAATCTGGTAACACAAACCTAGTTTGTTCCCAGCTTTATACATTCTGAAATACCCTAATAGTTTATTTTGTATCAGGAGCTGTAGCTTCTCCTCATCGCCGGGCTCCCTGGTCCACAGGGTGAAACAGGAGGAAGAGCAGAGCTGGTGTCTTCTCTTCTCATTTGGCTTGCAGCAAACCTGTTGGGGTCTTGGGAGCAGGAGTGGGGCCAGGGGTACAGCAGAGGTTGGGAGTGGAGGGCATTGTTGGGAAGTAACTAAGGGATCAGGAGCAGACTGAAGTGGGAGGGAATGTCTTTATTCCTTGTCACCCTTCCCTAAAGAAAACACAGCAGTCTGGAAGGTGCAGATCAGAAAGCTGCAGGGACTGTTGGTGGTTTAGAGGGTAAGTCCTTGATTTTGCCTTTAACTGGTCCATCTGAGGGGCTGTAGTACGGGCATCTCTCCATGCCTGGTTCATGAGCTTTTCATGGTTTCTGGGCCAACCAGGTCTCCCCGGTGCCTCATTGTGTGTTTTTCCTCTTTGGCTGCAGGATTATTACAGTGGTGGCTATTATCCTGCACAGGACCCAGCTCTGGTCCCCTCCCAGGAAATTGCCCCAGATGCCTCCTTCATCGATGACGAAGCAGTAAGTTGACACAGCCCAAAGTCTTTTTCTGGTGATATTGGGGTTTGAATCCTGGCCCAGGAAAACCTTCCACCACTGAGCTACATCCCAGTCCCATAAGTAATTATCTTGGGTCCATCTTTGACACCAGCTTTTAAGTTTGAAGCTAAAGGAACTCAAATCTCTTTTCTCTCCTTCTCCCCTCTCCCCTCTCCCCTCTCTCCTCTCTCCTGTCCCCTGTCCCCTGTTTCCTGTCCCCT